GCAGTAGCGAAGGCAGATGGAGGTTTGGAGAAGAAGAGTGAGGGTGAAGGAAAATCGGAGGGTGCCACCCCGAAGAAGGCAGCGCCTGCGTTGCTTCCAAAGAAGTCTATGACTGTGTTGCCAAAGAAGGCGGTGGAGGCTACTGCAAAGGTAGACGCATCAGCCGCAACGAAGCCAGCAGAGGCCGAAGCAGCAGGGAAGGCAGATGGAGGTTTGGAGAAGAAGAGTGAGGGTGAGGGAAAATCGGAGACTGTGGCCCCCAATAAGGCAGCGCCTGCGTTGCTTCCAAAGGAGTCTATGACTGTGTTGCCAAAGAAGGCGGTGGAGGCTCCTCCAAAGGCAGACGCATCAGCCGGAACGAAGCTAGCAGAAGCCGATGCAGCAGCAAAGGCAGATGGAGGTTTGGAGAAGAAGAGTGAGGGTGAAGGAAAATCGGAGACTGTGGCCCCCAAGAAAGCAGCGCCTGCGTTGCTTCCAAAGAAGTCTATGACTTTGTTGCCAAAGAAGGCGGTGGACGCTCCTGCAAAGGCCGATGCATCTGCCACAGCGAAGCCCGCAAACGCCGATGCGGCAGCAAAGCCCGGAGGCGCGTTGGAGAAGAAGAGTGAGGGTGAGGGAAAATCGGAGACTGTGGCCCCCAATAAGGCAGCGCCTTCGTTGCCTACTGCGAAGACGCCGGTGACTGCGGCAAAGGCAGACGCATCAGCCGCGACGAAGCCAGCAGAGGCCGCAGCAGCAGCGAAGGCAGATGGAGGTTTGGAGAAGAAGAGTGAGGGTGAAGGAAGATCGGAGGTTGCCACTCCCAAGAAGGCAGCGCCTGCGTTGCTTCTAAAGAGTCTATGACTGTGTTGCCAAAGAAGGCCGTGGAGTATGCTGCTAAGTCGCCCGCGCTAGTTGCCCAAGAATCCGCTTCAAGATAGCTGCTTGTCCTGATCTAGGGCATTGTTGGATTTTGTGTGTGGTTTTATTTGTGTTACAAGGTGTCCTGTTTGCAGCGGGAGCATGTTAGGTGTTTAAATCAGCCGGGCACTTATATTTTTTCTGTCCGTGACTTTATGGCAAAAGCTTCGCTCCGCTAATCTATTTTTTCTTTTCTGCTGGAAGAGCAGGTTCAGAGCCATTCCATTAAGCCCCTGTTTGCATAGCTTTCAAAACCTAGAGGCCTACTTTTACTTCAATTTCTGCACCTACGTTGTTGGCGGATGCATAGAGTATTTTAAAGGGCACCACAGCAAACAATATCCCGAATAGAGCAGTCATCACTGAGGAAATATGCTTCATGCTCATTTTAACGTGGTCAAGGCAAGTTACCTGGTAGTTAGCAAATATTATGTCGGACAACAGTAGCTGCAGGCAGCTCCAAAGGGAGAAAAGGCAACCAGTGACGGCCCTATGCCCTCTCTAGCTGTGTATAGATTTCATGTCGACTCTGGCAATGCTTTAAGCCATAAGAAACAAGCGATATCTTTTGACCTCTGATTGCTATCGTTCCAACGCCAGGCCAGGGGGCCAGCATGTGTGACGCAAGAGAACTCTCTACGTGAGAAAGTTCTTAAAATTGAGCTAAGTTGTTTTAGCCAACATTAGCTAAAGATTGCGTTTTGCAAAATGGTTGTTGGTAGGCATTGCCTACAATGAAGACGAAGCCTGAGATCCCATTTTTACTCAAGTCGTCTGTTACACGATCGATAGTTAAATAAAGCGGAGACTGTCTTCTTAGTGTGCCTCCCGTGCAGCTGAGGAAGCACGGCCAGCCCCTTTCTGCCTGCCAGGTGAGAGCAACTCAGCGCATATAATAGCTTTCAGCATAATTCACCAAACACGTCTAGTTACGTTCGTCTTCTGAGCCAGATACCACATTAGCTGCTGGTGTTGTACGATTCAAGCTGCAGCGTTCTTGGCCATCATGCACGCCTTAAGTAGAATTCGGTTTCTCCCATGTCGCCCAAAGGACCGCATTCAGTTGCACACTTAAGGCAAACTAGATACGCAACATTCTGTCTCACCGTTGCGGAATGGCTGATGCATAGGCACTTTGTAAACCTACGTTAGTAACGTCATGCGCACTATGAGGTATCTTTTCTCAGAAATCAGTGCAGATGCGTTCGTGAACGTCAGCGATGGTTTGATAAGCCATAACTTAGCGGACGTCAGGCAGACACTAGGAGTTGGGAGTACTAAGAAATCTGTCGTACACTTCTCGCCGAGATGCAGCAGCATGCACCTAGTGCCTCAGCAGGCTTCACAATTTTGTGCGAACACTGCCAGGTTCGAACTGGGGCACACTGCTTGGAGCGGCGTCAGGTTAGGCAGATATAATACACCCCTGAAGAGGCTGCATGAAGTGCAAAGGCCCCAAATACCACCTTCTACGACTTTGAATGTAACGAGTTGTTTGCATATGAATACGACGCCGCTAGGCATACTTTTTAAATTTTTTCGGTTATACCCTGCGCATCCGTTTCATCTTTTGCCTACGGATACAAAGAAGGGTTGTTTTGCCTTATACCCTGCGCATCCGTTTCATCTTTTGCCTACGGATACAAAGAAGGGTTGTTCTCCCCTGTTTTCGGTGCCGATATTGATTATACTCTTTCTCGGAAACAAAATGAGTTTACTTAATGTGTCGCGGAATTCGAGGACAGGCATTTAACAATCCTGAAGAGGGGTAACCGCTAAAAATTACGGTACATTGTAAGAGCGTTAGCAAGTACAGATGCCCTGTTTACTTATGTTCCAGCATCTGTAATCTGATGAATGTGTCATAACGTAACTAACACCCAACGTTTGCCATCTTGACGTTGGTTGCATATAGGTGACCATTTTAGAAGGAATCGGCCGCTTGCCAGGGCCATTTCCATTGTCTCATAGTGGTTCAGGCTGGCATAGAAAAGAGTGGAGAGAGTAGAGCCCCACAGCATAATAGCTCACGAGAGGATCTCTTACCATGCCTATAATGAAGGGAGTCATTAACCGGTGGCATAGAGTCATTAGCCGGTGGCAGGCATTGTGCTGGAGGAATTGTTAGTGTAGAGGTACTTCATGTTACGTATTCACCCCTTCTCTCCTGTGCTGCTTGTTGCTGTAGGGCTTCCTTAGTTGGATCCCACCGAAAACAACGATCTTGCTTGTTTTCTCGTTGTTTTCGCAAGGCCTTTAGTTCGTGAGGAAGCATCATAAAACCCATACTAATCTACTGGCATGATTGGCTCTTCATATCACTCGATCCTCTAGAACATCCGCCAAGTCAGCAGGTGGAGACCTGTGGTCCCTCTGGCTGTAGTGCCTGTGCCGGCTATGTCAACCAGCCCAGCGCCGCCTACTGACATCGTGCAAAGTAGTTAACTTTTTCAATTATAATAGCTTCCAACAGCTCACAATTCTGCCTACTACTGCTTGAGCACAGCGATAAAATTTATTTCTGCAATGACAGAAACATACTGTACGTGCAGAGTCTAGGATTAGAGTAATACCGATGCAACAGAAAGATCCTGGAAATCCTGGCGTTGAACGATGACGCGAAATACCCAATTTCTCACCAAGCATTTGAACTGAAGTCGAATGAAAAGATGCAGTAGGAATGGATGGCCCAGCGGCCACCCCTTTGCTGTATCAAGTACACGCTGTCAAACCGCGGCTCACACTGCATCTACAGTGTGAGCGGCGGTCTGACTGCGTAGTCTGTTACAAATGTTAGCAAATGACAGGGGGAAGCCTGATGCACGCTGAGCTTCTAGTCACCGTTAGTATCGCAATGAAGGGTACGAATGCGACCAAGATAAGCCACTCTAACTTTGCAAGTTAGAGAACTGTTCTGCGTGGGGTGAACCCGATGCGCTCTAATGTGCGCTCTAGCGTGCTTCTACGGATTTCAAGCACAGTACACAATAATTTCGCCATGGCCATAACTAGATTTGCAGTGGCCTGCTATGGGTCCATGCTGGCGACTACCAGCCCCAATTGCGGAGGGTGTACCCCGCGTGACCGAATTCTTTGATAGTTGCGAAGCCAAGAAACACTGAAGCTATGTCTTCCACTTCCGTCATTGTTGTTAATTTGTTGGGATCTTCCATCTCTCGCCTTCTTTCAATGCTGGAAGTCGCGTCAAGGCGCCTGGTGGAGCTGGACGATTTGTCTCGCGGCATGTTGAACTTTCAGTCGTTTTTTAGTTGAATCCAATCCCACCTGAAGTGGCCCCACGATCCTTCCGTAAGAAGAACTGTGTACTAACAGGGGATCATGATTCTTTTGGATGCCACTTGGGAGTTTTTTCGTTCGCGGTGATTTAGGGCTTCCTTTGGGTCTCGTCTTGATAGCGTCTGCTTTCGCCTCTCCAACCCTCAACACTGCCTTTTTGTCTCAATTCTTGGAGCTCTAAGACTGATCTCGATTAGTGCTGCATGTACTTGCCTCAACTGGAGTAAGAGATGCCCACTTTTGTGCCCGAATGCCGACGCTGCGTCCCTTCGCGAGCGAGAGCCTGGTTATCCCTGTGGGTCCTTTCTAGTACAATGAGTTGTGCATCTAATTATGCGGGTTTCCTGTGATCGTTGCAGCGAGTTTCCATCCACCCTTCTCAGCCGTTGCTGCAGGACAGCTATAGCATGGTCCATAGTAATAGTCCCAGGCTTTGCAACTCCCGCACTGTTCGGGCACTTCAGTGGAGGTCATCCGGCCTCCCACTGTCGTGGCAGCTCAGTTATTTGTCTATTTCAGCTGTTTGAGTCTTCATAGAGGACATCATGCCAGTTCGTGTCAACCAACGCGCCGTTGAGGCGCGGGAGCGCAAGGCGGCAGCAGCAGCAGCAAAGGCAGCAGCAGCAGAACAGGAAGCTGAAAGAAAGAGATGGGAAGACAATGATAAACTCGTTTCGCGCAAACTAGACAGGAAGGTGCGAGCATTGGGGAAGTATGTCTTTTGATTCAGGACTGCATGCCGTGATTGTAGTGCTGTGCTCTTCCATGAAAATCTTCGTATTATTTCTTCCTCTCGTAGTCATATTATCCAGCGCAACCGGACATGTTTTAACTCTCATCGCTGCAGGCAGAGACTCAAGCAAAAGCCGAGGAACGCATGCAGCGAAAGTTAGAACTTCGAAAGTTAGCCGAAGAGGAAATGAAGGCTCTCGCGGGCAACTCGACGAAGAAGGTGTTGCTGAATCACGCAGACACTCAGGATTAGGTGACATACGACCTACACAAATGTGCCATATGCAGCAAGCGTTGCGTATTTGGTAACTGTCGCTGGTTCTGTGGGTTCAACTGCTGCAGAGCCAACCGCCCACGAAGCTCACACGAGCACAGATACTGCAGCGACAGTTGAAAGCTGCAGCGATGGAAAAAGAAGCGTTATCGCCTTCGGTAAGTTCGATATTCACGCTCTTGACGAGGCAGCACTGTGGAGGCTTCGCTGAATGCACTTCCTTAGCCACTAGCCCTCAGGCGATTGCACTACTGTCTTGGCGCAGGATGACGCATCCCTGCCACGGCTTGAGCCAAACATCAACCATATCATGAGGGCGGAGTCTATGCAGGCTCAGCTTGAAGGTAGAGGTATTGTTTCGGGTGAGCCCCGGGGATTGTGTAATTCACTGTTAGAGGGTGGGAGTCTTAGTAGTGGCGTACAAACAGAAGCAACTCAGTCCACAGGCGTGACATATTTGTATACATAGGTTTCCTTCATGCGTGTAATATTGTAAGCGCTTTTCTCTCCAGACTGCATCAGCTTCAAGCTAGACACGGCCAATATGCTCTGGCTTGAGGAAACACAGTTGCTTTAGATCCTGGTGACTGAACGGCCATGCAGGAGTAGGCCTTAACAACCAGTGAATCCGCCTAGTGATGAATTTGATGCAGTGCGGGCTACCTCTGCTATGCAGCCTCAACCCTTGACGATGCTCTGAGCCAGCTGGTGGTCTCGGATGGTCCTGGGGAGGACAGGCACCCCGAGAGGCGACTGAAAGCAGTCAGTTCTATTTTTTCGTAGACCCAACATTTTCATCTGCTGACACTTGGTGCTTCGTGGGAGTTGAGACAAAGAAGACGGCAGACAGATAAAGAGGCACAGGGGAGGGTGTCGGTCATTCCGGTGAGTTGTCGTCACAATGGAAGACCATGTTTTGCACTGTGGGTGCGCCAGGCCTACCGGGCGTACGAGGAGCAGATGATGCCGAGGTTGAAGGCCGAGAACCCAACACTCAAACGCTCGCAGCTGCTAGAGCTGCTGTCAAAACAGGCAAGTCAAATGAATTTGGGAGGGGAGAAGTAAGGGGGGAAAGAGGAAACAAAGAGGGAGGAAAGGGGGGCTAGGTGTAATGAGTGGGCTTTTTGAGGGCATAGGGTTGGATAAGCTGCCAGCAGTGCGCTTTTTATGTCTGTTCCTTCAGTGGAAGAAGGCGCCGGAAAATCCATTGAATCAGGCGTGCTGAGGGTTTGGTCCTTCCGTAGGAAGCAGCCCTTCTGTACTACGGCCTTTCGGGTGTAATACTGACCTACCGAGTGACGCTCTCTCATCTACACACACAGCGGCGGACGTATACTGCTGGGTTAAGCATGCTTAGATCAGCACTTCTGTGGAGCTGAACCATAACCCATAGTCGCCTGAGTTACGTGTGTGAGATGTCGCATGGAAGGTTGAAGGTGTTGCGGAGAACAGTGTCATTTGGTTGCACTGTCGTTTACTTTCCCCTCAAGTGGCTAAAGTGGTCCTCCATTTCGCACCAGCAGAAAGCATTGAGGCGTTCAGTAATAAGACTGTTCACTTGCTGTTGCGTTATGGGAGACCCTTGGCATGGGGCGCTTTCGACTTACAACTACGCACTTGCAACATATACATAGAAGCAAGACGGCTGGAAAGGCAGCCTTTATGTTCGAGCTGATGGAGATGTACCAGGCAGCATAGGGCGGCCCTGTGATGAAGAGCTGAGCATCTTCTTGCCACTTACCTTCTTGTAAGGCTATTATGCGTAACTCTTAAAATGCTTTCGTACAATGGAAGCACTGCAACAGGCAGTGGCTGTTTGGACCCACTTAACAGCACCTTCATGTCAGAGGAATCACTCTGTTGCACCCTATACCGTGGGGGCTAAAAGCGACGACGCAGCATACGCCGAAAGCTGCGAATGGCTAATCCACAACTCCTCGGGAAGCTCCAGCGTGCAAAACGCTAAACAGACAGCATCGAAAATACTAATTTACCGCAAGAGCTGGTGCCCATGATTTGTACAGCGCACACAACAGTTGAAAGTCGGAAAAGGGCTCAGAGGTCAAAAACGAACCATTCTAGCCAGCCGGTTCACACTCTATTGTCCTCCAGTCGCCTATCCTCTGCTGCAGCATCTGCTTCTTCTGAAAAAACGACTGCGTCGTCGGGTTCCGTCTCGGTGGGGTCAAGGCCGTGACAGCTTTCTTCTAGCTCTCCCGAGTGATGTGAAAAGCTCGCTGTCTGCGGAATTTTCGACTCCGCTGCGCCAGAAGCAGTGCTTTGGTCAGTAGCTGTTGCAGTTTTTAGGTCCACCGCAATCGCTGGAGATGAAGCTGCCTTTGTGCTGGAATCGCTGCGCAGCTTCGCAGCACTTTCGACAACATCAAGGGGCACAGAAGCGCATGTAGGCAGCCCGGAAGGTAGTTCTACCGTCATACAACCCTGTGGGGATACGCCGCGCCGCACAGGTTCGATTCTCCCTGAAGGCCGCGTTTTGAAGGCACCTGGATCAGCTTGCACTGCAGGGCCCCTGCGCTGTGATGCAGCAGCGGCCCTACTTGTGGTGGAGGCGGCCTCTCCCTGCCTGACTGTGGCTGAACAACTTTGGCGGTGATCCCCAGCCTGTGCTATTAAGGGATAGGCTGTAGGTGGGATGCTGCTGAATAGCGGCATCGACTTTGCTGCCCGGTGCCGCTCACGAAGCACCTCCCATGCAGAGGGATTTCCTGCAGCAACTGTACGCAGGGTGGAGAGGCGTGCTGGGGGCAGTGCCCTGTCTGCAAGCAGTCCATGAGCCGCCTGCCACACGCTGCGTGCCACGTTTCCCAGAGTTCTTGAATCTCCCGCTTGGGGGCTGATGCCGTCGTCCTCCCCATCTGATTCCGGTTGCCGTCCATCTTCCAGGGGCACGATGAGGTCGCTGCTGCCGCTTGTGCGTTGCAGGAAGAGCGCTGCTTCTTCGTGCAGCCCTCGTTCCTCTTCTGGCTGTGCTATGTCTTCACTTGCTTGCGACTCGCGATCTGACGAGAACTCAGGGGGCTCTCTATCTGTCGAGATGGCATACTCAATACGCTGCAGCAGCTGCGTGACTCCCGAGGCTAGCAAGCCCTTCACACTCCTCCCCAAACCCTTCCCTCTATGTGTGCATCCATGCCCCTGGCTGCCGCTGTTCGTCCCTGTGCAGATGAGCAAGTTGCCATCTGCGTCATCAGATCTTCTATCGCTCTCACGGAATGCTGCTGCGTCTGCTACATCACAAGCGGATGGATTGGTCTCTGGCGCCCCATCGGCCTGCGTTTCTGTCTGGTGCTTTCTGCAAATAGCACGCCACTCATCTAATGGGGTCCCGCCGATGCTATGTAGGTCCCCACGTCCCTCGGAGTTGTCGTGGGGACCCCTAACGCCGAGCCCACTGCTTGGGCATGCGTCTTGAGGGGCAGCTGGCATGTCACTCTGGCGTGTCTGCGACCTCCTGAATTCCTCCATAGTCTCCAGCTCGTCCACTCTTGCCAACGCGCTCGCGAGGTCCTCTCGCGTCTTAATCAGCTGACCACGGAGCCGCTTCAGCTCCCGCCGCTGGGCCTGAAGACGCATGCAGACCCCGCACAAACCAGTTCCAATACATAAGCCCGCTGTAAATCCCACATCTGAGACGAGCAATGCTGCACTTCTGCATGCAAAAGCCCTCATGAAGTCCAAATATGCCAAACTGATACAAAGGGGCGACACGTCTTGTCATCGTCGTTGATTCCAAGCAAAGCCGAATGGATGCCTCCCAAAAGACCAAAGTCCACTATATGCGCAGAAAGCTATCTGGACACCCTGTTAGATTAGCGAGAGGTGGGCGACTGGCAAAAAGTGAAATGTTGCCCACTTTGTTCTGTTCCATGAGTGTCTGGAGGGCCAGCCGATACTCTTCGATGCGGAAGCCATCAGCAGCTGCCACGTCCTGAGAGCCCCCAAAAGCAACAGGACAAAGGCAAGAAGCAAGGTACCTTGAGTGCTCCACATAGAAGTCTCTCCGTGCATGTTATGGAGGTTGCCACTGGGCATCATCATCAGACAGGTGTCTGTAACTGCTCTCATGCTACTCGTTTGAAACCTCACCGCCGCTTCAACGCGCGCCACGTTAACTTCTAACTTCAGTATTTCATTTTCTTTCTTCAAGGTCAACACCTCCGCCGTCGCCTGTTCTAGCTGAGCTCGCAGCTCCTCCACCTCCCGCTGCAGGAACAAAATAGGCACCACCCCACACGCTGCATACAAAAAGCAGTTGCAAATGCTCATGTGGAGCGAGAAGGAGAGAGGGAAAGCATCCCTTTAATCATTAACCCTAAGTCCTTCACCTCAAACCCTAATGCGTCGAAAACGCTAGCTAGCGGCTGGGTCACCTCTTTGTGGACAAGCCTCTCTTTGCACTCCTCAGCCTGGCGACGGTTCGTTGCAACACTGTCTTGAATTCCACTTTGAATCTGCTGGAGAGTTGCCTCTAAGTCGTCTCGTTCCTGCGCCGTCGTCAGTAGGGCCGTTTCGCATTCTCGCAGTTTCGCAACAAGAAAGCCCTTGACCTAAGTAAACGCGCACATGCAGCATCTGCTGCGTGGATATAAAACTAGATTTTGCTCATATAATAGAATGAGTAACTCTGCACTGCGACAAGGATGCTTGTGCTGAAGGTACTGTGGAGACAAGACAGTACAAACGCCAGGGGCAGTGCACTTAAATGTACATGCTGCAAGTTGGCAATCATCGCCTCCATGTCCTCTTGCAACAGCTTGGTAGCGGCTAGCTCGCTTTTGGCTGCTGCATTTTCTGCAAGGTCACTCTCTTCCTTCAAAAGCCGTTCAAGTTCCGTTGAAGTCCCCGAACTGCCGAAAAGCCACGATCCCAGCATGGGTCGCGTGACAACAGCAGTCCGGCTGCTTTGCCCAAAAGAAGATGTCTGCAGTGGGCATCCGGAAGCTTCCCTCTTACCGTTTGTATTATCGTCCCCTGTGTTCTGCATGGTTTCGTTGGGGCGCTGCAAAGAAACGGGTTGTGCTGCTTCTTTCCTTTGCTTCTCGTTCTGTCTTGCCGCCTCCTGGGATATACACACCCTCTGGGCTGCCCCCAAGCTTCTTCCTGCTATTTGCTTACTCTGATCGGCGATCGTAGAATCTGTTAAACGCTGCGAAGAGACGGAATTCTCATATACTGCTTCTGCTGCTGCTGCTGCCGCGTGCACTGCCTCCGCGTTCAAGTAGCACTCAGGGGTACGTGTGAATGCGGCCAACTGTACAGAGGCGCAGAAAGTTTTGGTGAAGGTGATGGGAGCTGAGGCGTTAATTATGCGATGGCCTAATTTGCCTCTGCCGCAAACTCCACTGCGCTCAGAGGCAGCACAGCCGCTGTGGTTCGACCTGCGGGCTATATGTTGCAGACTGATGCCGTCACTGCGTGCGATCTCAGCTACTCCATTGCTGCCTTCAAGCAATCCTGGAATCCCCCTTCCCTCTCCATGATCGCAAAAACCACCCGCCGTCTCTGATGAAGCTACGCTACAGGCGGGGCCCTCTGGCGCTGTTGCAGCAGTTCCTCCAGCGCTGCACTTGCTCAGGAAGGCGTCTTTCCGGGAGGAAGCTGGAGGAGTGCGAGAAGCTGCAGCTGCCTGTGCCAGTGGAGCTTCGACAGTGGGCGCGTCTTTGCTTGCACTGATCTGTCGAGTGATGCAGTCACGAAAGGACATAGTGAAAGGGAGAACCTCCTCTCGTCTGATTCGATAGAGAGAAGCAGTCTCAGCTTCTAAATGACTTCCTCACCACATCATTTGACTCTCAGACTTCTTTGCGAAGATATACACCGCCAAAATCCTACAACATCTTGAATCCGAGCTAAGCAATGCAGCCCAACGAACATCAGAACACTGACAACAACTTCTCGCAGCTCTTTATGTGGAACATCTCATATATAACGAAATACTAATCTAAAGGACCTCTTCAGCAAACCCTAAACCCAAAATTCGGACAGGAAGAGGCCCCTCTCAACCCGCCACCGCTCGCAGCACGGCCTGTAATCGGAGGCCCAGCCTACACATTCAAGCGTCGCGCCATTATGTTATTCAAAAATTAACAGTAATTCAAATTGAGGCATGATTAGTTCATTCAAAATCAAAGACTTCCCAAGGTTATAGACTACTTAACACGATGGTATCACTCATCTCCGCATTTCCCCCGCTGCTCGATCTTCGCGAACTGCGACTATCAAGGTGGCACTTAGCAGCTAAAACAAGCTTTTCCTGGCGTCTTCTTTATTACGTATCTGACAACGTTCTTGAGTGAGGTCGCTGCATTTCTGTAGAGTAGGCGGCAACACACGATGCACACAGAAGTGGGTAAAACTGTATGCATGCATATTGGTATATTGGAAATATATCCTCTGCTGGCCTCCATTTGTCTTCTGCCGCTCCACCTTTGGAACCAAGTGAATCCTTGTGGTGTTGGTCCAAGCATTTTAGCTTCTGGTTAGCATGTGTGCTGCAGCTTATGGGTGGCTTATTACCAGTCAGAAATCGACTACCTGGGCTTCTGATTAGCAGGAAGATATTATGTAAGCCACTTACGTGCACATTCACAGTGTTCCAATTTCTACAACATCCAGTCAATTCGGACTGGTCGTGGAAGCAGTCGAGCCAACTGTGGGTTGGTCGTCCCGAGCGGCTCTAATTTTCCGCGCTGTGATGCCTTTCCCTGAGAGGAATGGACCGTGCAGAAATTAGTAGATTTTTGCATTGGGACAGTGTTTGTAGGCTTTACCACCCACCAATGCATCATGAAGAGCCGTAAACATCAGGGCATTCAGCAGCATCGGCTATCCGGACATAGAGTTTTCCCAGCTGTACCTTCCTCCGTGTAGAACGCATACCCAGGAGTTTGTCCAGCACTAAGCATGCCACTGCTACAGCGGCTCATGCGCACCAGCGGCAGCCTGCACATCATGCGTCTGTTAAATGCATTGTTCCTCACTCGTATAATGTTGCAGGGGCCAGGTGTCTTTGATTGACTGGACTTGTGCTTCTCATTTCCTGTTTTGTATGCAAACATTGTGAACCATCGACACGGGGGCTACTGCCGTCTTCTCTGGGAGGGCATATGCGATTGATTGTGCTGGTGTTTACGGCTCCGTCTGCATTTGGAGCACAGCACAGACGCCGCCTAAGCAGCATCAGTTGGAGGCGGAAATATATGTTCAGATAACGATTTTGCGCAGAAGTGAAAGAGGAGCAAACGAACTCGTCGCCGCGTTGGGAGATCTATATATATATATATATATTA